ATTAAGCTCTCCCTTCCAAGCTCCTGCGTGGTTTCCTCACCCCAGCATGGGTGCAGGGAGGAGCCCTTGTATGCTGTCTCCCCATCCCTGACCTGTCTGTGTGGGTCTCTAGACTGTCAGCCCTTCAGGACAGAGATTGTCTCTGTCTACATTGTGCTGCACCCAGTGCAACAGAGCCTGATCCTGACTGGAACCTCTGGGTGCTGCCATGACATCAGCACTGATAAGTAATCAGGGCAGGCCCCGCTCTTCCAAACCGGGCCCCGCCATCCCTGCCTGACACATCATCGCCATGTCCTGCGTCTCTTCTCTTGCCCAGAGCCTTGCTTGCGTGAGGGACATGGATGAGGCTGCCTTGAGGAAGGACATTGGCACCTTTTTCCCAGCACTCCACTCCATGGTAAGAGATGCTGGGATCACTCAGGCAAAATGCCGGGGCCTGTTGGCTTAAACTGGGTAGGTGTGGGAAGAGCTGTCCCTGCCTCGTCCTGTTCCCATTGGGGGATGGATCCTGGAGAACTCTCCTTTGGTTTCTTTTCCTCCCACCCACCCCAACCCCTTTGACCGGGAACATCAGCATCCCGCACCTTGTTCCAGCGCTCCACATCTTCGATTCCTGACCCGTCAAACTCTGATTGTACATGAGTCACGGCCACCAAAGCCTCAGTGTCACTCATAGACTGATCCAGCTTGCTGGCCTGTGCTTTAGATGGGAATTAGAATCTGCCTCTCCACCCTCGCCCCTTCACTCTGCCATCCGAGGGCTTGGCCTGAGAGACACTCGATCTAGTTTACCTTTGCTGGTGTTGCTTCCTTCCCTTAGGTGTGTCATCTCCCCAGAGAGCACTTGGAGGAGCGGAGAGAGGCCCTGAACTCTCTGGTCCATCTGGATAAGAAATGCATTCACCTTTCCCAGAGAAGGAGATCACAGCCTGTGGAATTTCAGAGCCCATGCATAGAACTCTATTCCCTTCCCCTTTATGATTCATCCCATTATGATTCACTCCTCTTCCTGCAGCCCCCTTATTCCTAGTGGAGCTGCTTGTGTTCCTGTTGAGGAGGCTGAACAAGTAGGAGGAAGAGGAGACCTGTGCCAGTCTCTTCATTCTGGACCGGATAGTCTGATCCAACAGTAAGTGACACACAGCGAGGCCTCGTCTTTTGATGTGTTATGGCCTCTTGTGCAATTAGCAGCCCCAAGACCCCACAGGATCAATGGGGAGAATCCTCAAAGCGCTGAGCCCAAGACCCTCAGACCTGTCCCAACGTGCCCCAGACAGGAGAGGAGCGCTGAGTTCAAGTGTCTGGAAGCGGAGGAGAAGGAGTTAAATGCTCCATGTGCTTTCCCTGCTGGGGCGGGAAGCAGGCTCTGGAGGTCGCCCCAGCATTGCCGCCGCTCACACGACGTTCTCCCCACTC